TGTTGACATCATATTGGAAACTGGCGTAGTGAGAAAGGATTTAGGGGTATAATGAAAGACGAATATTTAATGTTCAATGAATGATAAAGGATTTACTTATCAAGAAACGGAGATATGTAGATCACAGTTTGTGTGATATGATTAAACAGGATACCTTTGGATCGGACATGGAGTTTTAGAAGAATCCTTAGTTATTAAACCCATGAAACGAAAGGGCCTCGGGCGTGATGAGATTTAGTAGATATGAATTTCTAGATGAGAATTAGTAGATGAGAATTACATCATGGGCGCCACCATACAATGCCCGTGATCGAGAAATCATGTCGTTATAAGAAAAAAAATTCATTGATAATGCCTCTTACATAAGAATCGTATCGCTGATTAAATTGTAAATTAAATTGCAACGATTGTCAGACACTACTTTGATAATTTGAGGGCACTTGCACGTAAACATTGGGAAAACCATCAACATTTTAATAAAAAATGGCGGTGACCACAAACATCTGAACAGAAAGGAGGCGCGATCAGTTGCAAACGATAAGAAACATGCATCTATGACACCTTATCGCTGATTCGAAATTTCCGCCTGCTATAAATTAGATTTGCCTGCATTTAGAAAATTTTCTAAATTCATATCAGAATCGGAATTATCTTTATTTTGTAAGACACGACAAGATGCGGGCTTAACAAAACCTTGGTTTTGTTTTTCATGGTGACGATGCCTTTCTTTGCGATAAGAATAACTGTAGAATGTTCAAAGGAAAGGCAGCAAATGAGAGGCCGCCGATGCTCTCAAATTGATTAATCACTCCCATTGCAGAAAGTGCATTGATAAGGCCGGTTTCACCTGCAAATCTCACCCGATTCATGTCGTGAAGAAGACGTTAAGGGCGATCTCTTTAAAGAAAAGAAAAGTCAACAAGAAAAGTTGTCGAAAGAAAAGATTGAGAGAAATCTCACCGGATTTTTGACGTGGAGAAGAGTCTTGAGGAAATCTCACAGGACATATGTCGTGAAGATGAGGTTGAAAGAAATATCATTGAAAGATAACTTGGTTAAGGCAAAACTCATTTAAGGAAAACGAGGCTCTTTAATGTCAATGGGTTTAGAAACCAAGGACTCTACAATATAAGGGGAATTTTTTCAATATTTTGATTTTTCAAAACTGGGTCGGTTTCGGAAGGAAATATGCCTCAGATACTCGAATTTCATTAGCAAAGGTTGTAGCAATGAATATCAGAGTCTCGTCATCAAAAAGGTTGTTCTGTTGCAGATGCTAATCTCAGCTTTTTAAGTAGAGGAAACCAGTAGTTTACAGGCATCCATTTCTCAGGGATACTTTTCAAATAGCAGAAGCCAGCAGAGTATGATAACATTCAAATACAAATGAAAGACCTGACAAAGTTAGAGTGATAAACAAGAGGAATGATAGGCCTTGTTTTCGCTTCAATCCCATCTTCCTTTGCCCGTTCATCATAGGAATAAGTCCTATTTCGTTTTCTAAACTGAAGCAGACAATGATGTTCAAATAATCGACATGAACTGATGAGAGTAATGTTTTGATACACGTTGACAGTGATGAGGGACATATTGAGCTTCAATTTAATAAAAATAAAGGACAAGAAAACATTTAAATTGAAAACTTTCTAGTTCATATTCAGTTATTTTCTTTGAAATATAATCGCAGTTTCGCTTGACAGCTATTGCTTTTGCATTAATTTTTCGAGAATCGCCTTATTTTTCCTTTACATGGAGTCATTTAGATATTCTTCTAAAATATTTATGATAAATATATTTTAACGAACAGACAATATCAAAATCGAGTATTGGTGACACTTACCATAACAGTTTAGTACACAAAAATAATTTCATCTACTGGCAATCAAACTAGACCTTTCGAATTCAGATAGCTGAACTAAGGTCTGCAAAAACAAGACATAATTGCTTCTCTCGTCTGTTTATCTTAGCCTGTTTTCTTTACCTTGGCATTAAGGGTTAGGTTAAGAGCTGCTCAAACTCACGTGTTTCCAGAGGGACAACCAAGATACTCTTTGAGAAAAACAAAAAAATACCACTTGACAGGTATAAGAAAGTTCTTTCAATCCATAAGTATTGCAGCAAAGAAAAGCTTAAATCAATGAACATAGCAAAACTTTTTAAAGACCCCATGTTCTAAATTTTTGACTGATAAGTGACCGAGTTCCATTGTTACACATGGTAATTTCAATTAACAGAATAGGAACAGGCCTAAACTTTATTAGAATCCATTGAATTATTTTGTTTACGAACATGGTTAGAGTTAATACGTGGTGGGGTTTATGTGCAGGTAAACTAGAAGCTGCTAAATTTCTTAAATTGTCCATTATTAAAACAGAAAAAAATATGGAAATTGTTCCTTCCTATCAAAGCTATGCAGCAAAGAATAGCAATAAAAGAGAAAGTTAAAGCAGGAGAAGGAAGACTGCAGCAGAAAGGCAGACATTCTCAATAACGATCGTTTTTAATTTCTCCAAGCATTTGGACACATTGGCACGATAAATGAACCTAAGATAAAGAATGAATGTCTCAAAAGTGTCGTCGAAGTACGTAGAAACAGGAAAACAGAATACGAACGAACACCTTGCACACGGAATGAGCAAAACCAGGCAAGCCAACAAATGATTTAACGTTGTTTAGGTGCGAGTTTATACGCACTATGAATCGATGAAGGCGTCGCTTACTTAAAGTATTGTCTATTTTTTGCAAGTTAAAAGGAAGGACGATAAAACAAACTCCGTCAACTGTTATATGCTTAACCATGTGCGTCACTGTTATGAAGCCAATGGAGGTCAATGCAGAGGTCACAAAGACCTACAAGGCTGCGACTGTGAACTCTCGTGTTGTTGTCGCTGTCTTTAATTAAAATTTCTCAATAAAATCTTTTCTCATTCAAATGCTTTCAAATATTTTGTCGTGAGATTCTATAAAGGAACTTAAATTTGATGAAGGGACTGAAACGACTTTAATTTCAGATGAAAATTTCGGAATCATTATACGGGTTTTGATTGCAAATGGCCTAAGTCACACGGTACTTCGTGTACCACGGGCACAATTTGTCACAGAGTGTCAAATATGGTGGTAGAAAGAAACCACTAAACCTTAGTTGAAAGAAAGAATGTTGGTATCTAAATTTTCGTGGAGATTAATTAAAAGAGTGAAGTAGTTTTTTCCGTTGCTCGTTGTCCAAACTGCAGTTGAGTACATTTAAACCTGAACATTCCGTCTTAACGATTGAATTCTGCGCATAACGTCCATCAAGCTTTGCACAACGCAGTGTGCATCATGTTTCCGTGTGAAAGCTTAAGGCTACAGATCAAATTGTTTCTCAATGGCAACTAAAATAAAACTAGGTATCACAAACAACGAGCCAAAGCGAAAGAGATAAATACGCCCTTGGGCAAGAGGCAAATTTTCCTAATGGACTCTTCGCACATTAAAGAAATCGCCCAATTAGTCATATGGGTTGGGTGGTTAGCAAAAGAAGAGAGGGCAGCAGGCACAATTCACCATGATGCCATCCCGGAAATAGACTCCATTTTTCGTGCTACAGAATACAACGCTGAAATTTAAATCTTTACATGGAGCACTACACTCCGCATGCGGCATGTGACACCTTGATTTTCACCATTTTATTTAAAAATTCTAGACCTTTCAACAAGATTCTAACTAAAATTTAAAATAAATAAACTGAGATATTATCGTGATGTCGAGAAAACTTCTATCATAATCAATTATAACACTCGAGTAATTGTGTCAGAACAGTTAAAGTGGATTCTTTTCAGAGCCTTCTGGATAGATAGGTGCATAAGTTTGCTAACTGGGCAAACGCTGGCAACTTTTAGTTTTGAAGCATCAAGTCTAGCACATTCAGGGAACTGATAATATTGTATGGATATTGGGATGGGATTCAAACACATAGCTGCAGGGTACCTATCTTCTGTACAGTTGGAATAAAAACTGACATCTCAAATTCAACCCTGAAGACAACACTGTTTGAGGACAACGACAGCTGTACGATTTATTGCAACAAAACCGTTTAAAACTTCACAGAAGCAAAATCAACATATTACAGGGTGAGCATGACTATTACGAGTGCAATAGGAGATCAAGCATAGGTGGTTGGTTGCATAGATCATGTGATCGTGATGTTCGCTTCACTAAGGCAGATTTTTCTGATAGAAGAACTAAAGAATTGTGCCGATGACGAAGAAACATTTCACGTACAATACCTGCTCATATTATTTCGGATCTAATATTTTTTTGAATTATAAATTCATATAGTGTCAAAGGCAACAGGATTTATGGCTCGGGTCGGTTATTTTCCCGCATTCTGTACGATCTAAATTTATATAGATTTGCTATCTGCTCTAATCATAACTGATAATGCGGTAGTAATGGTGAAACGATTGACACTCGATAACAGTGTAATGACTTCCTATTGAAGGTTAATTGATAACAAAATAAAGAAATCAAAATTACATTTACAGGACTTGGAAAGGTGTATTGGAATGTTCAGTTATATATTAGTTCGTGGCAAGAAACTAACAAAAAATCAGATTTTCAGGTGGAATAAATGTGAGATGGAGGTGTTTGAATGTGTCAAGCTAGCGAATCAAAAGTATTGATGTGCACTTCTGTGATAAGATTATAGGTAATATGAAACTTGGAAAAGCGATGTAGGTTGAAAGCAACAGTTAATAGTTTTATTTTGTTCCTGTCGCGCAATTTGCAGGAAATCTGTACGGTGTATCTTGTCCTAGACAAAAGCCTAAAGTCAACTAGACATGGTTGAAACAAGAACGCCGTCAAAACAGATAACCAAAATTGCTTGCAAATCGGCTAAGAAGATTTCGTTGCTGATCGAAACATAATCTTTGATTGACGCGTACGCTTATAAAATGAATGAGGAGCGATTAAAAACAGACATAATAAAGAAAAACATAGATCATAGACATATATACCTGAGAGGCAGTTTATCCACCAGCAGGCTGCTATGGTATTGAAAATGCAAGTCGACTTCAGAATGGCAGCTCTTTATAGGCGATACTTTCTTGACAAAATCGTGGACGATCTAGCAAGTTAAATTGATAATATTGCTTTGAGATTCGCAGTCAATAGAGCGTGATACTTTGCTTCAACATGTACAATCTTATCGAGTATCATAGAACACTTAAGATTAATCTTTCCCCAAGAGAAAGAAATTGCATTGACACGAAATGAGGAGAGCGTTTGTGAAAGACCAGATAACACTGACACGAGCGTGCAATGACCGACGACACATTGAAAAACTCAACCCGATGGCAAGCCGCAATTTATTCACAATGTATACATCGGTTTTTTCTTTGTCTAAATAATTTACCATTTCTTAAACGCCTTTCGATTGAAAGTGAAAATGTTCCCAAATGATTGGTTAACATTATCTCGGCCTCTACAAAAGGACCTGTGCAAAGTTAAGTTACATGACAATCAAACTTTGCGACCCTGGACGCATATCATAATGACAACTAGAAATTCTTCCAAGTGACCCAATAGCCAAAACCAAATATACTTTATGCCAAGGTCAACATAAGTGACAGCGCTTTAAATTCAAATAGAATTCCTACATAAAAAATAATGGCTTGCATTTTACTTTCGTGCAGGAAAAGCAACGCAGATATTTTTACTAAACACCAAGTCTTTTGGTTTTTTTGTTCTAATACTTATCTAATCTTCAAGGTATTTTATGTACCCAAAATTTAAGAGCTACTTCTAAGAAGCCACAATGGGTTATGGTCGCGGAATCCAAATCCAAGGATCTGTGGCTCGAGCCCCTGACATGACCAAACTTTGACTTAGAGTGAGGGGAGTTGCCAGCTCTGTAATTCCAGGCATAGGAATCACGACTTTGGTCACATCGAGAGGAAGGACAAGGGCACTGCCCGATATCTACGGATCTTTGGTAGAAACAAATTCAAAATACAAACACAACTAGGAATTTTCTATTTATCGAAAAACCGAAAAACGATTGACAATATTCAGAATATCCTTTCTAGACAGATAACTACACTGTCACATTGATGGGGCTAGCCTCTGAAAAGCAGTGGGGGCAGAGGGGCACGCAATTATGTTGGAGCCTAGAATAGTTTAGAAGGATGAAGAACACCTGAATCTTGAGGAAAACCCTTCAAGAATTTAGGGAGATGGTACTTGCTTCCGCGATTCTCACAATTCTTCGCAAGGTAAAATTTTGCGAGATGTAGTGGGAAATTCTATGCTGAATCGATTGTGTATCAGGAATGACCGGTTCAATTATAAAATGGTCTGATTATTGAGCGGGAAATTCTTTATACAAAGTTTTTTATTTTGGAGGATGTATGCAGCAGAAGCTCTTTGTAAAGAAAACTCGACTCTGCAAGATAGCCTTAAAGGTTTCTCAATAACAGGTGAGAAAAAGAATTCGCAAAAGATTTTGTCCAAATTACACAACAAGAACTTTTTAAATTTTTGTCTTTTCGGGGCAATACTGTTTGTATCTCCTAAAGCTCCAAATTTACTATACAGCAAACTACCGATAACTCTTAAAATAACAGAATCATAGCACTTGCTACCACAGATGGTGTGGTATTGCAGGATACCTTGAAAAGACCAAGACCCAAGGTAGTCCTAAATTTATTTATCCTAAAAATGACTGAACGAGCAAGTATTCTCTCTTCTGAAAAGACCTCTTCTCCTACCACTTTAATAGTACTGTAAGTCTTGAAGTAATTTCGAAAAGAGTTCGTCATTTGAAGATGCCACCCCGTAGTTTTCTCTGCAGTTTTGCAACGACGATACCCCCTAGTCAGAATGTATCTAAATGTTCCTATTTGCAGAAACATCTGTTCAGAGAGTTCTTAAAAAACGTGGAAATAAAGCAGCTCTTTGAAGAACATACACCGTCGGTTTTGATATATGCAATCTGGGCTTCTGGAGAGGAAAATCCTTTGGTAAAGTGCTTTTTAATTGTAGATGAATTCGGTTGCTTTCTGCATTCAAACTAAATAAATTGGTCTATCATAATTTCCAAAGAATCTTCAGCAAATTACTGTAAGAACTTACAAGGAAAAACATTAGTATTCAAAAATAATGCGATGAAATATTTACAGAAATGTGTATGTACAATAAGAAAGTAACTCAATGAGATTTTCACAGAGATTAACTGAAAACTTTCAGGAGCCAATTAAAGCTTAAACTAAGACTGCATTCATCTATTTCATTTTTTCATTGAATCGCAGTAGACACTCTTAGAATAATATGGGAGTCCTAGTCCCATTCAGCTTTCTCGCACGTTTACAGTGCTTTCCTATCTGATTGGTTCTGTCCCAGTACCCTGTCTTTCAGTATTTTAAAACGCACCTCAACTGAAAAAGCATCTCTCTTTGCAATCTTGTTAACAGATACTAGGAGCCCAGTGGTAAAATGGGGTCGAAATTGACTCCTTATGTGGTTCTGGTACCCAAGGTAGATAGATATCCGTGAATCAAAATTTCAGAATATTTTACATGTTATTTATTGAGCGAGACTGGATAAAAACACTCCAGCTTACAGAAGCCTTGCATAAATGTGTTTCAGGCCGAATATTTTTTTGAAGCAAAAGCACAAGTTTAAAGAAACTTCTATTATATTCATTATGAAACAGGCATGCTTTCAATATTGAATTTCCATTTCCTTATTATTTAACGTTGTCTCTGAGATCAATAGCAGTGCAGATGAAGTGTAATTTTTCTCTGATTTTGTCGTTTCTATTTTCACGTTCAAATTAATTATTGCCATAAACAATTCAAAATAAAATATCTAATGGCTTTGAAATATCCTAAAATACGCTTGCACATTCTCTTGAGCCAGAGTCTGTTTACAACTCTCTTGACATATGCACTTATTCTTAGATAGTCTTGCAAAATTTTGTGCGAGTTTTTTTAAGGAGCTAGGGGCATAAGGTTGGGGGGGTGACAGAAAAGTGGCAGAAGGCAGGAATCAAAACAAGGAAAAGGGGGCCAAGAATGGGGATGTCAAGGGCAGAAGGTCGTTGATTCAAATCTTAGGCTAATTTAATGATTTACAGATGCTGGAAGACACCAATGTCATTTGAAGACCGCTGTAATAAATAATTCATATTTGAGTAGCAAAGCCACTGCAATTTACTTTTAAGTTATGCAATAGACAACCAGAATCATTCGCATATTAAACCAACTTAAACACTATTTGGCGTAAGACATCATTAATTCATACGGTGTTTGGTTGTGGATTGTAAATGGCAATCAAACACAGTCAATGCTGATACAATTCTAAGCCAATGAGCCGCAGGCCAAACTCCTCCTGAGGCCAACGGGGGCTTTTGATATCATGACGTTATCAAAAGATGGCGGAGAGGCGGACTTTCAAAGGTATAATAAATGATTGCTTACTGGTCTAAAGGCACCTGTAGCATTTGCAGTTATGATATTGCAGAAGTTGCGATTTCGTTTAAAACATTATTTACCAGTGGCCTTAACATCTCACCGATATACCATGAAGAGATACGCGTTTAGCGCATTAGATCAACGTGATGAAACGCCAGGGAATGTTTTTACTTTTTGACACGCGAAATTTTAATCAGTAAATTTTAATTCAGCAGCACAGAAACATATTCTGATGCTCTATGGCAGAGAGTGATAACATTTTAAGGTTGGTTCGTATTTTATCGCTGTCACTATAAGCACATAAAACTCAGAGAGAAATTGAAGCTATTAGTTCAAAAGAAGTATCCTGCTGTAGGAGAGAATGCTGAAATATCACTATGAAAAACCAATATGTTCTAAGCAATTTCAGATTGTTAGTTCTACCAATCTCACGGTTTCAAGAATTGGCAGAGCAACATTTTTAAAATTTATTTGAATTTTTTACAATTTCAAAATCCACAGCTTACTTATGCACAAAAGGTACGAGACAATGAACCCAAACGAGTCAATGATCCCAACTAGGCATTAAAACTTAGGCATTTTGAAAACATTGCAGATACCTTGCAATTTACAACAAAGAAAGCAAACCTTGATTGATCACAAGGAGCCAGAAACCCGAAAAATGCATGAGTCAGAAATGCCAACTTGAATCCTGCTTATGCTGTAGCTTATATTTACCGCTCTTATTATTACACCTGAAATATTGTTAGTGCGATAGTAGTCTAGCATTTCTATCTCAGTCACTTTTGAAAAATCAATGGCCACAAAAGGGAGCTAGTTCACGAATGCTAAAAATAAAATCATTCGACAACCCAGGGTAGAGTATCCATAATTAAATCTCAGAAATTTAGCATTAAATATAGTCACATTTATATATATATATATTTTGATTTATTTTGATGTATAGATATATTCATCTGAGTGGCTTATCAACCGCATTGGCCTACATTACCGTATCTCAATTATCTCGTGGCCCTATTACCTAGGATATCGTTCGAACAAACTTAAGCTAGTTTATGGAGAGAGATTGGGTCCAACGAACAAACATCCAAAAACATCTCTGTGAGATCGTTTTTAGCACTTCTTATTTAGATTTCTCGTGGTGCTACATAGAGTATTTGGAAATCCATAAATTGTTTAACTCGAATGAATATAATCTGAAATGGAAAAAACAAGCCTTGTTTCAAAGCTGAAAATACACAAAACCTGAGGTTTCTCAGATCTGAGAACGACTTTCTATAAAACCTCAAGTTGAATAAATTGATCCTTCAACAGATAAGTAACTTCATTCCAAACGTGTTGCAGCTTGTTTAGAGTGGGGAATGATAAATAACATCGCACAAAATAGAAGAATATGTAGATAGCGTTACGTTAAACCGTGCAACATCAACTACGGGGCACACTGGGAACTGTACAGTTGGGCCCCAAATATTCTGACATGGTCATGTTTTGTAAGGTTTTAATTTTTATCAACACATGACAAAAATCATTTTTTGACAAAAATATTTAAGTTCTGGCCCATGTTCTGGCCCATCATCACATCATCAGGTACGCACATTTTCATAGGGGCCCACACAATATTCTGTGCCCATGACCCCAAAATTCTTTATGCGGCCTTGACGTTAAATGCATAACAGAAATCCAGCAGCCGTGTTTTATTGGAACATTCACCTACAAAGCATACCTTTGACCGACTGTGTGAGGATGAAACTGCGCACTTTATCTGAATACTACTTGGGGCATGCTTATCTTGTATAAGACTTCTTGTAGAAGTCTTTTATGGTGCATTCACCTACAAAGCATACCTTGCAAAGCAAACCTTGTAGAAGTCTTTTATGGTGCTAAGGGCTGTTGTTTACAACTAGAACCTTTTGCCAATCAGGTTATAGTGTTCTATGTTTTCCAGCATACTATCTAAATCTCTAGCTTTGGAAATAATTAATATATCTACCTTAGAAGCAATATCCGTTGCGTGTGATATCGACAAAGCGTTGGTTTCGCTGCGAATTTCATGTATTGTCATTTGCCGACAAACTCACTTATTCGTTTAAGCAAATTAATCAGAATTATTAAAGTTCCTTTCGCCTAGAAGCAACAGAAATATGATTCACAGTCTGTGGGAACCATGCAAGCAAAACAGCATTACCATAAATTGATTCGTTGGCAGGATGCATATTACAAAAAAGGGTTATTATTTGCCAATAAGGAATTAAAAAGAATCAATTCGTATAAATTTTGTACTAGATTTGCTACCTTTTGAAAATGTCATATGAGAATTTACTTTGGTTGGTAACGCGACCAATTTTGAATCATTATGCTTTTTCTCTGATTTTAGCTGAGAACCGTTGTTTTTGATTTTGGAAACTTTTATGCACGAGTGTCCTTTCTCCTTCAACTTAGAATTTTCTTCATCTATATACCATAACTTGTAGCATAGTTCATCAGCTGATAAAATTTGCTCTGTTTTGTTTAAACGAGAGAAAATATTCATAATTTTCGAAAACATATTGTTTTTTCTTCCTATTTTCCATCTGAGGCGGAATATGCTATTACACTATCCTTATTTTTTTTGAAAATCGAGCCTAGGTGTAGTTATAAAATATGCAGGGCCTTTTTCAACATACTAATTAGGGGGGCAATTGTCCCTGCAGTCACAATGACTTTCTATTGTTTTAAACAATAGGCTATTGTCCTTCTCCTAAAATAAACAAAGGTTGCCCCCGCAGCTTTTTTCCCTTGAAATAGGCTGAGAAAATATGTTCTTATAAACAAAGAGTGTGTCTTGAATGCTTTTTTCTAGAAATAACTTTTTGTACTGACAAAAAAATTCCTTTCGTTAAAATATGGATTTGCCATAGAAATTAAGTTAAATTACAGTTTTACAGATCGCTGATGCATACGTAGTGTTTATTGAAAATATTTCAGTTGAAATTTCTTAATCTTGGTCAAACTGTTCCTTTGAATTTTGGTAAGTATTTTTGCTGCTTGGTTAGCGTAATGTAAACGAGAAAGGTTCACCGTGGATGTGACGAGACAAATGACTGAGCCTAGAACTGGGGCGGCACCAGCCGGAAATATATGGAGTTGACATGGAATCTAGACAATTTATTCACTTCAAGGAGTGGAAATGCCCTAATTTGAGAAATTGCGTGGAAAATAGCGATGAAATAGTAACTTGGTCTTTGGCCCTATTGTGAAAACACAGTATAATCGAAACATGTTCTTACATGCTTCATAGAAGAAGTTTTCGACAGGCCAGCTCTTTGAGATTTATGTACGAAACTATCAAGCACTGTCCGCTATATAATGTTCTGTACTGACTTCAAGCTCGAAGGTTATTATTTATTAAGTGTGGGAAAGGCAAAATTACACGACCCTAGATGAAATCAACCATCGGCAAAAATTCCTGTTGCGGTGCCCCAGCCTAGAACTTCTTTGAAACTATTTGGATTATTTCAGTGCAAAGCACTATTTGCAGACATCCTCCAGGGCCCTCTTATTTGTCTCTACCCCCTTATAAAAGCATATCAAGTTCCATACACCCAACAACGGTTCTAAAAAAGCATATAAAGTTGACATTGGCTGTACGACATTTGATGACAATTGTCCGAGAAAGCCAAAAGAAAAACATTGGTTATTGGGGAATTTACATACTAAGGCCATATAAAATCATCATGATGAAATAGGTCAGCAAGAATGGGATTACGTGCGGTTGCCAATTAATCCTACATTGCCAGCTATTATAACATAGACAGAAAAACAAAAATCGTATCTGGAATAATTTGACTAGGAAAGTTTCTGGCAAAAAGACTATATCTTGAAAAAGCACATCAATGGGAAAGCAAACAACGACTGGAAAAGGAAGAAAAATACTTCTATGTTTGCTTTTATTTGGCAAGCTCTTGCAGACACGTATATTTACAGAGAACAATAGATGCCAGCGTGGTCTTGCATAAGAATAACCAATTCATTTATCCAAGAACATAAATAAATCTTCTAACTTAAAAGCAATATTTCAAAGTTATAGAAATTCAAAATCACATAGGCTAACCGTAGCATTTTTCATCTCCCCACGTCCCCTTCAAACTGCTATTTGTCTCCCCAGTCAGGAATGTTCGCTTATAAGTACGACAGTTCAACAAAAGATTTGCTACTCCCATGTTTACCTAGAAAAGAAAAATACTTTCCGGGCTTGTTACGCAGGGAATATGCATTGAAATTGTCAATTTTTACGTCAATAACTGGATACATTTTTATTAATTCGTGGCGTAAATTCTTAACAAATTTGCATTTTCAAGTTGCTGACATGAAATTGAACGCTTGATGACAAATAGGCCTAATGTTTTTAAGTAATAAGCATGTACAAAACAAAATGATGACGAGAATCCAATTCATTGCAAATTGAAGAATTTTTAACATTTCGTTTATTCTATTTCCACCTTACGAAACTAAACTTTATGATTTGGGCTCGGAAATGCATAACAAGGTGCAAAATTTCAACACCTGTAGAATAAGAGGGTAGGATCGCACATTCTTCGCCATAGAAAATATGATGGCCATCTATTCTCGTGTAAACGTGCTAAAAATTCGCATTAATTAAGCTTTTAGCACTTTCATCATATTTGGAAAAGTCTTCGACCTGAGTTCATCAATTTCTTTCCCTGATCAAATTTTTTCAAAGAAGTTAACAGGTAGCCTCGCCATAAAATCGAGGCATGTCGAAATCCCCCACAATAAAAGAGGCGAGGTGTCAAGTCATAATTACGTCATGGAACTAGGACACACGATTTCATGCTCTGCTTCGAAAACAAACGGAACCTGGCCAGGCTGTCATGTGTGCTAAGAATGTGCGGCATTTTGTACGGAAAACACCTTGCGCTCGCGGATCCAGTCATAAAATGTGTCACTTTTCCAAATGGGCGGTTTCTCTTTTATGAATAGCCGATAGAGAAACTGGCTTAACACCCACTACTAAATGTCAAAAGTGAGTTGCTAATTAGTTCATGCCACATTGTACAAACGAATGATGTAAGAGAGAAAATAAAGAAAATAAAAAAAGTAATGTAAGTGAAAGGTTACACCCACTAGCCAAAAAAAATTTTCAAGAAATTTTCAAGAGGTGAAAATGTGTCAGTTTTTAGCATTTACTCTTCAGTATGAGCTACAATGCCTGCAAAAAGTACTTGGAACACCCAGCAATTTACGCTGCATTTGATATGTTTCATTCCTTTCATGAAAGAAAATTACTACTTCCGCCCCTTTCCCCCTGAAACAATGTTGATAATTTAGAGAAATATCTTAAAAGAAAGTGCTTTCTAATATCCTTACCCATTTGATAGTAAACCAACATTGTTCTGTAGGGGAGAGGGGGATGAATTATCTTGACCTTGGAAAATAACGTCAGTGTTCCAAGACTTTTGGCAGGCATTGTAGCTCAACGTCCCTGTTCAGGGGTAGCATTTTCTGTTAACATTTCAATAAACTATTGTGAAACAGTCTAACAGTCAACTCCGCTTAATGTTGACCACCGTTTACTGGTAATTAAAATTTAGGCAAATAAGCAAAAACTCTTCAAAAGAGGTCTTTCTACATTCACGCCCCGCTAACTGTCATAACATTTGGTATGGGTACAACCGGAGTCTATTGCAACAATGTTTTTTTCACGATTGATGCAGGAAACAAGAATTCGGGTGGGATAAGCCCCACCCATCCCGTCAAACATATTCCGTAATTGATGCTCGCGAGTACCATTAGTAATGTTTGCTTTTGAACAAGAATGTGAACAGTCAGAGCAAGTTCCTGTGTTTGATATAAATTTCTTTATTCAGCTTCGAGACTGTTCTAGAGGCCAATAACTGTTATCAGTGATGCGATGACATAGTCTTTTACACAACCAAGATAACTACCGATATAAAGGAACAAGAACTTGAACGATAAACCAAGGAATGTGTCAAAACTCAGGAACATATTTCACCCTCTTTTTCTAAGAATAATTTTATAAGAACACGAGCCTCAAAATTGCTCAAAAGTTAAAAACAAATTTAGAACAAGCTGAAAACTGAGCTTCTTCAAAATGCAATTTTGAACAATGTTTTTTCTCAAAATCGAGCATTTTTAGTGATGTGTGGATGCTTTTTCGGTGAATATTCAAATTTGTCAGCAAATTAAGGCTGTCTCACTCACTTTGTTGGCAAATGAGGCCTAAACACCACCCTAGAGCCAAAAAGCTAGCACTCGCACTGCTTACACCCTATTAAATTAAAAACAAATTAAAAACAATACAGCCTCAGATTTTCGAAAAAATTAAGAACATTCAGCCTGAACATAAAATTACTGGTTCTTATAAAAAAGGAGTGTATTCGATTATATTGCATCTTTTATTTTAGAAAACTAAATTTAGAGATGTAATGAAACTATTTTGAAGCATAGAGAACAAAAACACCGAACATGAAAATTGTTTATTCCGAAATGTTTCTGTTTTGCCCATGAATATTATTCATTCTAATTGCGAAAATAATATGTTCGAACGTGAATAAAAATATTTAAATTGAATACAATGACAAAAAATATTTTTGTTTTCCTTAAATGACAGCTAAATAGGTTCTGCTGGCTTGTGATATTTCAACATGTCTGGTTGGTTTATTGTCATTGCAGGCCCTCCCAAGTTCCTAAGATTAAATTATCTGTCGAAGCCTTGAATTTTGGTTAAATTTGGAAAAATATCGGAAAATATTAACGTTGTTGTGTTAAAGATCAATACTGCTAGAAGTAGCATTAAAATGGGCATTTGGAATATGTGAAGAAACTTTTTCGCTCACCTTCGGTATATTGATCACAGCTGTCTCTGGTTGTTTACTTCATAAATGGTCGTGTCTAAATGAAAGAAAATTGTATCAAATTAAAGGTTCCTTTGTATACAGCACGCTGTATCATCAGCATCGGATTCTTCCTACTGTTAATCCGGAAAACTTTATTTGATTGCCACTACCTGGAACGTTATCCACTTTGCCATACCTGGGAGCCACGTTAAACTGTGTCAAAATATTGCCTTGGAACATGCGAGGGTGTGTAACGCAAGGGTTATGTCCGGCTGATACTTCCTTACGAATTTGTGGACAAAAATTTGTTGGAGAATTCTCGTGTTTTCCCGTGATGAAATTCAGGTCAATGATACATCCGGAAAAAAATCATGCCATTGTTTGGCAATGTTTAATTTGAACTTTGCAAGCATTCTTTACTGCCAAGGTGTGAGCACGTCACAAAGAGGAAGGTTAAAAAAGAGGCTCCTATTAATAGCTAACAATGCTGTGTTACATCTTGCCGACATTTGCGTTCTTATGCGATTTGATCTAACGGCCGTAACACGATATGGACCGACAAACGCGCGAAATACAAAACCATAGACGTATTTGCTTCACATATTTGCTGAGGACAAAAATCGGCTTTTAGAATATTTGACCGTCGGTAAAATGTAAAGGACACAAATGGTTCCTCAAACTCGAGGGCATATCCAAATTCAATGTCGAAAAAGGAAGTTCCTGCACAGATGTATTGCTGCATTTTTTAAATTACTCCGGATAGCAAGAGAATGCCATCTTGACACATACCTAGACAGTAAATCAGCAAACTTTTTTCTTCATTACTTGGTCATTTGACTGAGTGACAAAGTATGATTATTACCAAATAAGCTTCTGTCATGATGAACGTAACATAACACTAACAACTGTGTTGGGGGGAGGGGGGTGGTTGAATTGGAAAATGGAATCTTGCTGATCACCAAATGGTTTGGAACAGGACCAAGAGGCAGGGCGACAAATAGCAGTGCCATCCTGGGTCTCTATCATTTAGTCTGATAAATGTAATTCTATACTAGCACAGAAACTTACTCTCTGTCACCGCAGCAATACATCTCTATAACATTATATCATTGGTTTAATGAGCCTCTGGTACCCAGGGTAGGGAAGTGCCAAATAAAAGTTGGAGTAGATTTTCCAAACCACTTGAAAATTTATATTTTTTCACTCGTATTTCTTTGTCCAGTAATTGAGTAAGCCCCTTCGCCTAATTTCATTGTAATCTGAATTCACTTGCAATAAAGCACTCTCATGCTTACAAACCAGAGGCAGATCTTATGGGTAAACCCACCTCACCGCACAGTCGAGTCTGCCAGCAGGCTAGCTACCCCCAGTGTTCTCCTCCGCTGGTACTCCCCTGCAGCCTTATTATTAAGGGTAATACCCAAACCTCCCTCAAATTCATTCCCTGGAAATTATTCATCCTAGTCCTGCATCAACCAAACTTCCGTAACCTCTCTCAAAAAACAATGAAATATAGGCGTCGAATGGGTGTGGTTATTGAAATTATTTTGTTCTCAAGGACCCACCTATCGCTACGTCTGTCTGATTTTGACTACCTTGAAGTCTTGAGCTACAGAAACACATTGTGTAAACCATGCTTCCAGTGTCACATACAAAAATTAATATAGACTGACTTTTTGGGACTTAAAACGAACCTGATTTAGGCCACTGGGGCCGACCTACCTTCCTATTTAATAATTCTTCCCCGCAACCTCTGGCTATTTTAAACAAAAACATTGAAACTACTCGGGATCTGCATGGGTTTTTGCTGTTAATACCTGAACAAGAATCGAGCAAATCTTTTCGAAAATCTGAGGCTGGATTTTTCTTTTTTCGTCTAAAATCATTAGCGTGTAAGCAGTACGGTTGCTAGCTTTTACTCTCTGGGAAGGTGTTCAGACCTCGTTTGTCAACAAAGTGATTAAGACATCTTTTATTTGGCGAAAAGTTTGAAAATTCTCTGATAACGTACCCCTATATTGCAAAAAAATCCTCGTTTTCAAGATGTACATTATACAAAAATACATTTTACGGTAGCTAAACCCCAGCGTGGTCATAATTTAATAAATTTAGCGGCTCGTGTTCTTATTAAATTGTTCTTGTGAAAAGAGTGTAATTCTCTGTAATTAGCACCTTCTTATTATATCCTCAATATATTGATGTTTTATGGCTTATTATTAAGCAAGGGGTCTTTGTGTATTATTGGTGTCTTGTTACTATCCACCCATTCTGTCAAATTTCTTCGAGAACATGTGTTAATTTTTTAGTAGGCCTATAGCTCAAACTCGAACAAATTAATAGACTTCCATGGCAGTAATGATTTCAGGAGATACCCATTAAGGCGAAGAAAATGCCTTGCTACAAACAACTTAGATTGTAGCTCAGATGTTGCATGGGATTTTTGCAGTTGCACTCTAGCTTCATGTACATTTCCCCAAGAGCAAAGAAAGGCGCCATGATAAGATACCGACTGCTCTAAATGACAACTGAATCGTGATCCTTCACATACAACAAACATTATCTTCTTGCGGGGTCAGTAGTGAAATGTAAATACTTAAGAAAACTCTCACAAGGGTGTGAACTGACACTCGAAGCTTTTTACCGAAGCACATCTGCTCGTTTCTAGAGCTTTCTAATGTATACAGCGATTAGGAACTGTCTGTGTCGGGCAGGATGTTTCTTAGACATAGGGTAAATACACTGCAAAGACGAATTGAGTATCGGAAGCGTACGGTTGTATTGTGCAAACCTATGATGAATGCATATCAATGGCACTAAGCAAGCATTATCGATACACAACACGAGCCCTTGAGTGTTTGGTGCGCTATTTAGACTTGTTTTGGCATGACCTAGCAGTGAAGAGGAACATAGACTACCCTTGCTAATCTTTTGGTCGGGGAGACGCGTCTATATTCCTATTGTTAGGGCTTTTACCCTACCCATTTCTCTGAGCCAATGAAAAGGTGCATTTTAATGGTACATAGTACACCAGAGTTAAATTCCCACTCTCTTCATGACACCCTTTTCTCGAAATTTTCTTCGCCTTCTGATTTGAGACTGGCTTTTTCTCATAAGAGCCATGTGTGTTCTTACCGCAGAATAAATTATTTGATGTGACAACTTTAAAACAAGCATTGCTTGTATCGCTTAAATTTTTCTTGTGTACGCTCAAAACCATTATTTTTTACTGTTTCTGAAAAAATATCTCTTTAGTCTAAAATAAATTTAATCAATACGTCACTCGTCCCAATCGTTTTTGAACGACTGCTCTGCAAGAGTCTAGACGTATCATAATTTAAACAACTTACCTATCAACTGAAACCCTAAATTGGGAAGGGAAGGAGCATTCAATGGCAGCTGCTTTTGTGTAACTTACGATGCCAGTATCAAGCATGAGGTGGATATGTCTCTATAAACGAGTATCACATT